AGTGACAGTAGTTGTACCAATTGGAGGACTCAACATAGTAACCAAAGTATAGATTAGACAAGCCGAGAGGGTAAAGAGAGAATGAATCTAACTGTAAACGTAACATATAACTCTGATCCGTGGAGAGGAATCAGAGAAGAAGGGAAAACGTAGCTTGTGTGAGAGGCAAGCAGGGCAAGAGAATATCATGACATAAGAGTATTCCCAAATCTTGTTGTTGTATTACTTGGCATAAACCAATATGTATATATACAGCGAGAAAAGTGATAAAGAAGAAAAAATGTACAAAAGAGTAAATCTAGGAATTGGTAACTATTGACATGGTATATAAAATATATCCTAATACTTATGTTACTTGGATTTTGGCTTATCTCATGAAAGTTATAAGTAGGAACAATTGGTGTTAATGTTTCGTTGGTTGTTTTGATTATTGAATTAATAAAGCTCTTTGAAGCACCGTTGTGTTCTTAGAATTTTTCTTTGAATCTTTGATTACTTGTCTTCAACGCTTCTAGCTGCTACAACACTCGCTCTCTCTTTCTCGCTGCGTTTCTCTGAGTTGTGTTTATTCAAGTTTGTGTTTCCTCCCNCCCCCCCCCCCCCAGTTCAATTTCTGATGATAAATTTTTAATTTGATTCAGCTAGGTTTTGCATATCTCTTGTTTTAGTTTCTTTATTTACTTTTCTGGTATTTTTATTTGATGGCTTTTTACCTCTCTTGTTTAGTTTCTTATTCCGACTTTTGTGTACTTTGTTTTGACAATGAAAGTATTTTTTGTTGAGATTTAAGTTATTGTCTCTAGAACCACTTGTAGATCTATTTGTCTTAATGTTTCACACACATTCAACCTCCCTTACATATGTCTTTGGTGCTTTGCAAACTAATAAGATATTTTCGATTTTGATTGCAGATTTTTGTATCGGATATGGCATGTAAGTCTAGCTCAGTGACTGATGCAGGTAATCAAAGTTATAGATCCCAACCATCGATTGAAGATCAAATGGCCATTGTCGTTAACCGAGTTGGGGAGGTTAAGGGGATGGTTTTAAAGAGCCCCCTTTACTGGGAATCTATAGAATTCCTTGCAAATGACAAGGTTTCACGTGGAATTTTCTATGCACTTCCAGATGACTATAAGCTGCTTTTTCTAAAACGTAAGATAAGAGCCTCCAATACGGAAAATCATGAATCCGATTATGCGACCATCTCAAAATGTTCCACCATGCTTACTTCCTAAGTTCTTAGACTAATGATGAATGACCATTTCTAAAACTCTCAAAGAAACATATGAACATTGTCTTGAGATATACCAAGCAGAAACTTAACCTTGAGCTTTAATGTCAACAAATCCCTATAGTTAGCAAAACAGTCCATACGGACTCGTACACTTTGCTCCAGCTATTTCTCTATGACTTGAAGACTCTTACAGGATCCCCTTTCGATCCTTTTGTTCTCAGTTCATTCTCGGAACCAACCAATCTGTTGTTAACACAGAGTCCCATCTGTGACAGCACAAATGTGCTATTAAACAACCACACCAGATTTAACAGCTTCACTTCCTTTCTTCGGATATGTTTCCTTGCTGCTCCAAGCTCTAAGATGATCACCTTTACCTAAGTTAAATCACCTGAGCCTCACAATTTCGAGATAAACCTTGAACATCACATTTTGTAGACCTTTCCAAATCTGGTCCTTACCCCTGCGACTGATTCTGCACACAACCTTTCCTCAAATCCCAACCATAACTCAAACCCTTCTGAGTCATTAACCTGCTCTTGTAAACTGTTTTTACTGATCTTGTTTCACACTCATCTGCAGTTTCCACTTCTCTGAATTCTGAAAACCTTAACTGATATATAAACCTCCACCAACACACAATAATCCAACTCCTAAAGCGTCCCTTAGTTCTTAGAATCAAGTGTGTTACCTGCAGTTTATTCCCTCAGCACAAACTTGAACACCAGCAACATCAACCCTTTTACACCCAGAGTTAACCAAAGAAAACAACCTGAAACCAGTACAACCTTGGCTATCTCTTTTGTATAAAAACAGTAAGCAGCCCTTTTGTTCCAAACCAGTTTTCAATTCCTTGAGAATCGCAGACCAACAGTACCAGAAACATCAACAAAGAGCATCACAAGATGTACCTGTGATCGCAGCGGAACTTGTTAAAACGTCTTCGAGACTTGAGTCTTGAGGTTGATTAGTTTGATTCTGATTTCATAACCTTGAGCCAAATGTTCTTAGCTATTACCCTCCTAAATCAGAAACCAACGATAACTGGTGTGTTTCTCCACCATATACCAGCCTCAACTCGGCTGAACACACACAAACCAAGAACAAACTCTGTTGATCAAGTGCTCCCAATTCAGCCTCTGAATCTTCTACTTTCTGTGTGACGCAGCTTTAACCTGCAAGTTCCTGTAACCATACTTGCAAACACGCAGAATCTTCCCCAACTGAACCTTAAGCCAGTAACCTTCGATTCTACAATCTTTCTTCCAGCTTCAACGACTTTGGCCATGAAACACTGTCTGATTCATGGTTAGTGTGTGTGGAGTTTTCCACTTTTATGATTAGTTTCTTATAGTTTGAATAACCAAATTTTACACCTGGTTTGTTCATTGAGAAGTTTCAAACAGGCTGATCTGTATTTGACTTTGTGTGCTCTGTTTTGATATGATATAGTCTAGGTAAGTTTGTCTGAGATTTAAGTTATTGTATCTGGAACAATTTGTACATCTATTTGTCTCAATGTTTCAGACACATTCAACAAGCATCATAATATCTTTCGATTTTGATAAACATGCAGATTTTTGTATCACACATGGCATCTAAGTCTAGCTCAGTGACTAATGCAAGTAATCAAAGTTATAGATCCCAACCTTCGATTGAAGATCAAATGGCCATTGTCGTCAAATGAGTTGGAGAAGTTAAGAGGATGGTTTTAAAGAGCCCACTTTACTGGGGATCCATAAAAATCCTTGCAAAGGACGAGGTTTCACGAGGCATTTTCTATGCACTTCCAGATGACTGGAAGCTGCATTTTCTGAAACGAAAGACAACAGCCTCTAATGTGGCAGAGCGTGAACCCACTTATGGCGAATCCTATTATAATTATTCAGATTGATGGAATTATGTTTTTCTGTTTATTGTTGTGCTTGAGTATGATGTTGTGGAATATGTTTCATATGTTCAGTGTTTGTTTTGGTGTGTGCTTGAATTTGATCTTGAGTGGATGATGAACTTGGCTTTGGTTTTATGAAATATGAGATGTATTGTTCTAGTAATTTCTGTATATAAAGTATGTTTTTTTAATAATGAATTTTGTGTGTTTGTGACATATATATTGTTCTAGGGTGGACAAAACAAATCTTAGCACGTAGTATTTTTTTCAAATGAAGACTAGTTTAGTAAATTGTGATTTTATTTGAATCTAAATTCGAGTTGAACAAAAAAATTGTTTTGAATGAATGTAATATTCAAACAAAAAAAACATTTTTACAATAAATCTGTCTTTTGGTTTAAAAAATGAATTGAAGAGATTAGAGAGAAAATCAGAGAAATGGTTCGAACTCGAGTAGTATCATGTTTTCTTACGGTTGAGATGCAAACCACAAGATTGTTGCATCATTATATACAAAATCTCTCGCGATGTGAATCGAATTTACTCTGTTTCGAACAAAATTTACATTTGTATAGTTTTGAATCAATCTTCTCGATAATCAAATGAGCAAAGCTGATGCTCCTCCAATCACCAAAGTCATATTACTAGAGATCCAAACTGTAAAACAAGGAGTCCATAAGGTCACTAAACCCAGAGCTTTAATATCACAACAAAAACCGAAATTTAAACTTTGGAAATTTCTATATGGTATGATCAATTTATTAGATTAAGGCGACTGATTTTTTTTTTGTGTGACTTTGATCTGAAACCTTCTAACTCTCTACTTCCAAAGATTACAGGCCTGTTATTTTGCTCGTCGCTGCGATCGCGACTGCGACGGAGCCAAACGACTATGACGGAGGTGCCGTTGGAGAGGAAATGTGTCGCTACCGTGTCTGTATCTCTCAAAAGATGTCGCCAAAAATTGCAGCAACCATGAGAAAACGTATCTAACACCACCGGCGACTATATCCAGCGGCAGTTTTTGTCTTTTTCTTAGTAATTTTGTTCTTTTTAGCCGTAATTAACTTTCTAAGCCTTTTGAAACTTATGTTCTAAAAATCGGGTGCTAGCTTATCTTATTATATAAAGTTTCAGGTGTCAAACTTTATAATTAACACGTTTGTTACACGTGATAGCCAGTCGATTAGATTTTGACATATGTTAAAAGAATTTTTATTAGATATTGCCACATATATCACACAAATCTTATTTTAATTTTTTTTTATATATTTGTATTTATCAAGTAACTTATAAAAATCAACATATATTAAGATTTTTCAGTTAAGCTCTAATTAATAATTCATTAAAATAATTAGTTGATAAGCACGGTTTATTCTTTTAATTTTTTTTATTATATTTCTCGGTTTGTTTTTCCGTAAAACCTTTTTTCTCTTTTCTTTTACGTGAAATAGGTTTTAAGATTTTTTCATAACAATATTAATTAATACATGTGTTAAAACTTTTTGAGTTCAAATAGACTTAGGTTACATACCCAAATCTTCATGGGTTATAATATTTTTTGTCTTTATATAACAAGCTTTTGTACTCTCTCAATCTTCTTCCCAAACAATTTTAAATTTCGATAATCACTTCCACAAATTTTATTTCTGTTTTTTCATTAGAAAATAACATCGATTACTATTTTATATAGATAGGTGAGATAGATTACGACGATCTATTTTAGTTTCTGAGATTAAAAAAAAATTATAACTCAATTTTTTTATTTTTTTTATTATTTACACCATAGATTTCATCACATCCATAATTTATGAAAAAATAATTGACTTTCTATTACTTGACGAAAATGTTAGCATGTTTTGT